TTGTGTCCTATTTTCCATTTATCTTTACATGTCTTAAATTTATTTTCCCTTCTAAATGTTTTATAAACCCCCCAGTACTACTGATGATCCTGTGCCTAGATCCCATTTTCTGTTACTTTAAGTAGAGATACTAAATTTGCTTTTCCCTAGTCATTAAATACCATCTTGACTTGATAAATTTATCAATGATTCTTGGTACTGGACCTACAATTCTATGTCAGTTCTTTCAGATTAATGGGCTGGAGATGATCCAGTTTCCCTTGAGCTGGGCACCTGGTAGGATTTGGGGAGAAAGTTTAGAGTATGCCTCTGTAGCAGGAAGGCTTGGTGCTCTTGCTACTTAAAGAGAAGGCAGACTGCAGGTGGCAATCAGGAGTCATGTGACCCAAAAAGGGGTGCCCATGATGCCCTGGAGTCAAACCCTGCTACATTTGGTGCATTGGCTGAGAAGGCTTGTGGTGATGCAGTTTACCTGGGTTGAACAGTGGACCTGTGGGTGAAGGAAGGAAAGTGATCAGCAAGGCTGAGGGTCAAGGACCCTGGTCCTAGGAAGATGGTGAAAAGTGGCTGGAAGGCCAGAGGGAGACCCTAGGGGGGGGAAGGTGAGAAGGCATGAGAAATATGAGGGCCCAGTGGGGCAAAAGGTCTTGTGGGTCACAAATCAAAATAAGATGGTCAGATTGGGAATCCTCAAGGGCTGCAAAAAGAAACACCAGCAAAAGGTGGCAAAGCTGCAGAACTAAAGGTCTCATGGGTTGCAATGAGATGACCAGAATGGGGATCCTCAAGAGCCGCGGAGAGGATACCTAGGAAGCCCCAAAAGGAAACCTCCTGGTCCTGGGTAAGACTGAAAACTGCACCCTACTGGGGGTTGAGGTCACAGTGGTGGGACTATTTGTGGTGGGGTAGCCCCTAAAAAGTGCCACTGGTGACAACCTACAGAGGAAGGTAGGCATAGGGTGCCTGAAAACACTAGCTCCCACTGCCTTGTGGATTATCCCCAGGAAGGGAAAAGGCTAAGGCCCTACACCCTGACAGAAAAGGACACTCATGGAGGTGAACGGGGAAAACACCACGTGAAGGTGTGAGCTTGGTGCTTCTGCTACTTTAAGAGAAGGCAGACTGCAGATGGAGCAAGTGCTGCAGAAGGCAATCAGGAATCATGTGACCCAAAAAGGGGTTCCAGGGGTATCAGGGCCACTCCTGGAGTCTAACCCTGCTACATCCTCTCAGAATGAAGCAGGGAAAGACTTTTTTGGAGGCCGATGATTATTATAGTTCTAATTTGAATGATTGTTTTAATATTGCTGTTGTATTGCTAACTATGTGTTAGGGTGTTAGTCATTAGTTAGGCATCTTTCTATTACACATACATAAATACTGCACTCCTCCTTATGCAGCCTGTCAGTGGGGTAACCACTCCCTTGCAGGTGCCTGTTTCTCTCTCTCCCTTCCTCACAGCCCTAATATCAGAGAAAAATGAGAATAATAAATCTGATTTATCATTATACCAAACATCATCTGCATTCTCCTATGGAGAGTGGTATACCCCAGTACCTCTGCAGCAAATAACATTATCTTCCTTCTCATGCCATGTGTACAGTGTAGTTTTAAATATCATTCACTGTTATTATAATTGCTGTTCGATATAAACTTAAGTCTCTTGTTTTTCCTTTTCTTACCTGTATTTCTTTAAGTGTTCCTCTGAAAGTATAGAAGTGACTCTTTCAGATCACATTTGCGTTCTCAACCGTCCCAGGCAATGGTTTCTTGTTGGAAGACGTTTTTAACTTTACTTCAAATATTTACTGTCCCTGACCAAATGTGCTAACCTATAAAGCAATGTGTATGCCTTGCTGTTTAAAGGCCAAAATATTCCTATATTTTGTTTACTTTGCTGCTTCAAAAACTAATATGAACTGGTGACAAATATAGTCTTATGGATGATCTATGGGTGTTTTACAGTTACTACATTTGAGTCATGGTTCATTCGGGTGCAGAAAAACAGGAGCATGTTAGATTTTCTCCAGAGGGATAACATGACCTACACTTACTGAAAAATAGATGTGCATAAAAAATAATATAATTGCTCTGTTGTATTAACAAACAAATACCACTTTTAGGCAGGAATAACTGAAATCTATTGCAAAAAGCTTAGTTTAAGCAACTTTTGGATATTCTATTATTTCCTGTAATCCAAACCCTAGTATTGTCCTATGTGCTCTTATTTCATGTCCTGGCAGAGTTGCCAGCATTTCACTCCTGCTCTCTATATTTTTCCAATTAATCTTGTTTAATTTTTCACCTAGAATTTTGTTTTATTTATTGGCCTTTCTTTTGTTTTATGCTGTCCTATTGGCATCCTGTGTCCATTGCTTCATTGGCTAAGAGGCTATATGCTGCTTGAGTGGTTGTGAATATGTCTGTTGATGGCACTATACCACGTGTTCTTACAGCTGAGCTGAGTATCAGAAAAGCAAAGAAAAAGCCAGGAGGCTGCTTGTTCTTCTCAGCTGCTGCACTGGGACTGCCAAGAATGTATGGAAAAAAACATGCATTCCTCTTAAGGAGATTTCTATGACTTGACTTCAAACTACAGAAGGATATTTGCACTGCAGAGGCCACAGTAGATCTAGGCACAACCCAATGCTCCTATGTCCTGTTTCTGACTCTGCCTTCAGATTAATCTGTTGTCCAATTAATCTATTGGTAGATGCAACACTATCTCCTGGAAAGGGTTCTGTGACAGTGTATTGTTCTCATCTTCAGTATAGGGACAGTGGAAAGAAAATCTTAAACTGATTTAGATTCTCTGCTGAAAAGCAAAGTTAATGAACATGAACTGACATCAGCTGGAGATGTTAAACTCCCAGGAGTCAGGCAGTTGCTTATAAAAGGAAGAAGGGGAAGTAAGAGTGAATTGCTTAGGTGGTGGGTGTAGTTTAGAAAATCTAGCAGTTGCTCTGATGCAGGTAGAAGGGTTTCTGTGAACTAACACAGTCTTGGTTTACTTTGGCTCTGAGAAAAGCTAATTTGGAGTTTCCTTGTCTAATTCTTGAAGAAAAGATCACTAGGAAAGTTGGTTTTCCTTTAAATTGTAAAGAAAAGGGGGTTGGGGACCTGACTTACCTTGACTTATTTTCTTCCCCCTAGAGAGAAAGGGATTTAGATCCTGGAAGAGGTGAGTTTTGAAGAAGTTACCATGTGGCTAAAGAGGACACTTTGCTTTACTTTCATTCCTTGGTTGACCTGAAATTCTTCTTGGCTGAAGGACTGCTTGTCCACCACTTCAAAGGACAACATTAAGGAATAGGAATTGTGAATAGTCTTCATGGGGGTTCAGGAGTTGTGGGGTAGTCTAGAGCCTTTACTTGTAGCTAATGTAAATCTGGGTTTAAGTTGCCTGAAAGCCAGTACTACCTGTTTTCTTAATTCTGTATCATGCTCTAATTAGTGGGTCTTTGTTTGCTTCTTAGTACATCAGTATCCCTGTTATAAAAACCACCAACACAAATAATAGCCTTGTTTTGAAGCCTTTCCATAGCCTGGAGAAACAGAACCGAGCTTTGGGAATTGAATTCGCTTCCTCATCCTAGTGCAAAACCACAGTACTGTGGGGGGGAAGGCTGGGGGAGGTCCTTGTTCTGACTACTCCCTTCACAGCAGTCAAAGGAGAATGCAGGCACTTCAGTGCTCTTGGTCCAGCAACTTTTACTGGCAAGAGTAAACAACTGAGAAGAGATGAAGGATATTACTGTAGATGCTGACTAGCACCAATCTATTGGTGGCCTAGTACTATTCTCCCCCCCACCCCCGCAAGCAGCAACTACAGTGTCTTCTGAACAACAGCTACCTGATTTCCCAGATGTATACACAGCTACAACATGTCCTATATACTTTTAAGTTTGTTTAATGTTTTTAGTCATTCAGACTACTACAATCTGTTAGTTGTAATAATATGATGGATGTATTATTGCTATTATGGTATTATTACACTTCAAGCATGTATCTGGGTACATTTTTTACCAAGATTTTTCTCTAATCTGAAAAGCACTTGAGGTGTGTACACATACTCACACTGGTATTGATTTTTTTTTTTTTTTTTTCCCCCCCCCATTATAAAGTAGATTTTACACCACTGTAAGTTAACTTCATAAGGGTAACCATTCATTTCAAGTGGAAGAAGCTGGTTAACTTGCTCTGCTTTTATGGTCACAATTTTGTTTTGGAGATAGGGTCTGCAAGGTCCTTTGGGATGCTGAATCCTGTCTAGTTGTGAGAAGTGCCAGACAGTATTCAGAGCTGTCAGTGTTTCTGGGTTTGTTGCAGACTAGTATTGTCAAAATCATCCTTATTCTGTTGATCATCCTTTCTGACTCAAACTTGCCTGCCTTGGGCTTGCATTGACTGTGGTGTCAGGTAATTCTTCAGCAATTGGTTCTCCAAATGTAAAAAAGTCCTCTTTTTTGTCATGTTGTCAGGAAGTGGAACTTCATTCAGGGGATCATCAGATTATATTCCATATCTTTGTTTTGTTCTTTCTCATACCACAACGAACTTACTTTTCTTGACCTGGTTAGAAATTGATTTCAGCTTTGTTTCATCATGCCTCAACAATGGCAGAGCTTGAGCTGATAGATTTTTAAACTGTCTGAACATGAGCCTCAGTTGAGATGGCTCTGGGTACTAAGCTGATGATTCTACTTGTCTACTACTGACTGAATGGGTCACCTCATTCAGGCTTTTGCTAAACTGTCATAATCAAGGGGAAGCTTAGGAATGTCCTTTGGCAAGCATCTAGGGCATTTTGACTTTCTGATAATGAACAGTGGGAGTTTCTCTCTCCCATTTTAGCACAGATAACCACCATTACCATGTCCTTTGGAAACTTTCCCACATTCTGTTCCCTCAGTGGGTGCATATTTTGTCACAAGGTCTTCTTAGATGAAGTCTTGTTTCTGAGGAAGACTCCAAGAATGTGAAGAAGACTTTCACTCCTATTTTTTTTTTCACCTGCATGCTCATCTATTTCCTTCCCTTCCCACCCCACCTCTCCCCCGGACTTTAGTTTACATGATGGAAGAAACATTTCAGTCATGGCAAGCCTTACAGTCCAAATGAAGTGGCAAGCTGAAGTGTCTTTTTCCTTGATTTGAAGGTCTGGAGAGCACTGTTCTCTGTGCCGCCTTCTTTAACTACACAGAACCTCATTGATGTTACCTCTTGTCCTTCACGCTTGCATTTTACGACAGCTCTTCATTAATCCATTTTCATAGTCGGAAACTTATTCCTCCATTTCCAGATTCTGCGTCTAACTGACCTGAGTGACTCCCACTATTGCCGTTGATTTTGTTTAAATTCTTGTAGTTTAACACTCTCTGATCATCTATTCCTGTGAGGTGAGGGGGGCTTTTTTGGCATTTTTGTTTTTAAGAGGTTGGAGAGTGAAAAGGAAGGATGCTACTATAAGGCCTGAAAGAAGGAAAGGGCAAGATATAATGCATCATCATATCACAACACTGCATATGCCTTGCACAACTGTTACTCTTAAACGTCAGTTCTTTTGCTATTCCTAGGTGGATAATAAATAGTAGCGGAAACATTGGTAAATTCCTATTGCGCTTACAAGGGGTTGCTGTGTTCCCTGAGGACTGTTTATAGCTGTTGTACTTGGTGCTGCACAAACCGATGTGCCTTTCCGTGGGCAGCCTGGCCGAGCAGTCTCAGGCGGGGGTGTCCAACCTCTGGCCTGCGTGCCACATGCTGTAGGTGGAGCCTTGGCATCTTGTGGGGGGAGAGAGGTGGGGGAGCAGTGTCAGATAATCCCGCCACCACTCCCCACTGCCAAATCCCCAAGCGCGCTGTGGCGGGTCAGAGCTGGGCCATGCCCCGTCCTTCTGCAGGCGGCTAGGCACCTACCCCCGCGGCTGAGGTCAGGCCATGCCTCCTCCCCCGGCGCAAGGCGTGGGGAACTGAGGCTCGGGCTCGCCTAGGCCCCAAGGCCCGCGGCC